GCTTATTATGGATTTTGGATAATATATTTTATTGATATTGATATTTTAAATTTGGATACCTCGAAGAAAGACAACGTATTCTATTGATCATTTCATTGATACTTAACGCATACTCCTTCCTATTCTAAATGTAGAATGTATATGCTGAGATACAAATGTAGAACAAGGGGCCTGATGTAACGCTCTTATCTCTAAAATGTTTTTATTCTATTGATCATTTCATTGATACTACCTCCGGTCCTTAATATAAGACCCTGTTTGACTTTTATTTTGGTCCTAAATATAAGACTCCAATCCACTTTGTCTCTCATATTTATGCATCTTTTTCCAATATAGTCCTTCTAATAATTGTAGTCCTAACTAATATAGTTAATTAGTAAGGATATTTTAGGAAAGACAATACCTATTTATTACAAATAACTAACTTAACTTCTTTCCTTAATCTCCTCAAATTAGTCAACATGGTCTTATAATTAGGACCGGAGGTAGTACCTTATAAACATGAGTTTTGAATTTCTTTTAAGATTTTTTTAAACAAATAATTTAAAGCTGCACAATTTTATGGTATCTTTCTTTAGAAAGATGTAAATATTTAAAATGTCGCTATTTTTTTATTGGTAAGACATCAAAATATATTGGCCCATAGGAAAAGACTGGGCCGTTAGAGAGGGGAAATTAGAGACCCTTGCCAGTCATGTGACTAGGAGCCTAGAGATGTGAGGCTGGCTCGAATCTCAAGAGAGCAAGTCAACCCACTGAGTTAAAAAGCCCCCCATGGATCGCGAGCTGGCGCAGCCTATCGTGTTTTTGAGTAGCTGAGCAAAGATTCATATGATATACTATCTCATCGTCAGATACTTATTATAAGAGTTAATTTAATATTTAATCTGATTCTAAATATAAAAATCCAATCTACATGTTAAATATGATAGTTCTAGCTGATATATATAATTAATAAGGATATTCTAGTAAAAAAAACACACATTTATTGTAAATAACCAGCTTAATAAACTTTCTTAATCTACTCAAATTAGTCAACTAGCTCTTATATTAAGAATATGATGTAGTATATATTTTTCCCTTGTGAGCCATATTTATCAATTCTAGTAGAAGTTGCATATAATTTGATTAGAAGTGATAAAGAGATGGTAGGTAACAAATGCTTCTTTAATAGTCCCTCCATCCCTTTTTATAAGTAACATTGGAACTCATCACATAGATCAAAATGTTAGTTAAAATTAGTTAAAGACAACAAATGTGTAGAAATTAAAAGTTCTTTCTCTAAAATGCCCTTGTTTGTGAGGGGGAGAGAGTGTAAGAGAGAGAATAAAAATATTATTATAATAAAGAGAATTATGGAAGAGAGAAAATTTGTGAAGGAGAGATGATGGTTTGGGAAATAAAATAATAAATATATTGAGTATTAAAATAAGTAATTAATGGGAGCAAAATAGGAAATTTGCTACAAAAATTTAAGACAACTTACAAATATTACTTATATTTAGGGATAGAAGGGAGGAGGGAGATGATAGTTATTGCTTATAAAATGGGACGGAGGGAGTGTGACAATATAATGCTATGGACCATGACAGATCAGTAATGTATTTATATATGAAGAAACTCGGTGGCATCTTGGGCTCCGACTTATGTGTTGTATTTTCAAAGCATGTATTACATTAATAAAAGAATGAATGTGCGCGGTGATTAATTAATAAAATGAATGTTTGAGAAAAATATTGAGCAACGATCCGCAGTATACGCGAAGAGAGAGAGAAGCTTAAGACGCCATCCATGGTTGACCAGAAGTATAACACGACGTAAGCTTATCAAGAACCAGATCACGAAAGTCTCAGAGAGGTAGAAGCAAGCAAGCTAGCTTATGGAGCGGCAAATTGAACGTGATTTTGGGGAGACAATGACTGGCCCACGGGGGCATCTCCACCTTATGAAGCTGAACGAGGAAGAAAAGCGATTTAAGTGCAGTGGATGCAAAGAATATGGGATTGGCCCCATGTATGAATGTGCAACGAATAGGTGTCACTTCGTCCTTCACAAGGACTGTTTCCATACTCGCAAGTCCACAACCCATCGATTCATTCCTGACTGCACGTTCCAATTCCAGCCGGAACCTCAGCGCGACGGGAATCGCCCGTTGTGCGATGCTTGTGGGTGGCGCATTGAAGGGTTTCTGTATGAACATATTATAAACAAAAACAAGCATTACTTGCACCCTCGTTGCATGAACCTTAAGAGCACCATTTCCGATCCTTATAATGGGATGAAGCTGATTCTTAAGGGCGAAGTGCCCTCCAACTCCAGGTGTGTGGTATGCGAGAGCACAGGGCCGTTCAGAGGTTGGTGCTACGCGCCCTCTTCCGGAAACTATTGCTACCATGTCTACTGTACGAAGAAGAAATTCTGGGAAAGGGTCTTTTTCAATGCTTCTCCTCCTCCTCCGTATTTCACTGCTGAGAGGTTGTTCAAGCTGGCGATAATCTTTCTCTGCCTTGGAATAGCCATAAAATATGGGCCTTCTCAAAATGCAGGTCCATTTTTCATCGTCATCACTACTGTGGTACTGAAGTTTTTATGATTTATATTTCTCTTAATCCTTGAGTTATATATGTTTAAGTTATTCGGCTGACGAACTTGCGATAGCTAATTCTGATGGATCCATGGGCTTCTGTGTTCTCTTGGCATTAATTGGTTCTGCTTTTGCACTGTTCAATGTTTATGCTAATAAAGCTTTCTTTTTCACTTTGTTTTCTTTTGCGGTTTTCTTAAGTCCAGCTAAATCAAGCTCTAGAGATGTCAAAAACTCCGGGATTTGAATTTGCAAATTAAACTCATGAGATCGTGACGTACATATCATAAAAAAAAATAAATAAATTACTGAACGGATTTTTTAAATTGAAAAAAAAAGTTATTTAGTCTTATCTTCTGTCGAATGCATTCACGACCTATGTGTAGGGCTCAGAAAAATATATGCTATTAAAATATACTCCTCCAACCCTTAATATAGGAGATAATTATTAAGTTAATTTTGATTCTAAATATATAAGATATATTTTTCATATTTATTAATTTTTTCTAAATTACCCTTATGGATATTCTATCAACCATAATCAAGTAAGTGAAGGAAGGAGGATATTAAGAAAGATGATTATAATGTTTTGGAAAAAACATGTCATATTTCTTATAATTAACTAACTTATCTAACTTTTTTAATCTAATCAAATTAGTTAAATAGGTCTTATATTAAAGACAATAAAATACTCCATAAAATACAACTAACCTTATTCAAACCTTCTCGCACTTATATATGCTTGATTGCTTGTTCAGTTTATATATACTACTTCGTGACTCTTATATTATATAATATAATGTTATATTTTAAAGCATTCATTTGTTCACCTAATATATTTAGTTCCAAGTGCTAAATATAAAAATCTTCTAACTAATTAACTAGATTTTCTAACTGGTAACTTTTATTAAAGACGGCTTCAAAATTTTACAAAAGAAACAAGTAATTAATAAAAGTGGGCAAAAGTCTAGGTGCCCCTCCCGCCCAGTCAAGTCAAGTCGTCGACTCGCTCCTTAGAGGGCAAATTTTGGGCCCTTCCTTATTTTGTCTCATTTAATATCTCTTCGTTTCTTTTCCTCTAAAATTTACACAATTTTTCTCAAGAGCTAATTAATTAATAATCTTATACTACCTCCGGTCCTTAATATAAGACCCTGTTTGACTTTTATTTTAGTCCTAAATATAAGACCCCAATCCACTTTGTCTCTCATACTTATACATTTTTTTTTTCTAAATTAGCCTTTCTAACAATGATAGTTCTAATTAATACACTTGACTAGCAAGGATATTTGAGGAAAGATAACACCTATTTAGGACAAATAACTAACTCAACTTATTTCCTTAATCTTCTCAAATTAGTCAATTGACTCTTATAATTAGAATCGGAGGTAGTATGTTGTCATCATTTCTCTTTTAGTCCCATACATGACGATCTTTCTTCTATATGTCCCAATATATGCTCAATCACTCCGCATTTTTATAATTCTTAAAACATGATCTTTTCATACAATTCTCGATGAAGATAAATTATAAAATCATCTTGCGTATAATTTCGAATGAAAAAATTAGTAAGGCTCTCTCTACAAATCAACTGCTTAAAAACTTTGGCATAATAATTTGCTGCAGACTTCTGGTCCCGAATTAGCCCATGCTTGAATTATATCATTTTTGTAATCGCACGATCAGACTAAAAAAGAATCAGTTTCAATGCTCATCATCAACTTGATAAACACCCTAAGCTCATCAGATCTATATCATCTATATCTAATTTGAATAATTCAGATTTAAAATATTTAATTAATTATTTTTAAACAAAAAATTATTTTTTGAAAGAATGATAGTTAAAAGATTATCTCTATTTTAGATTCTATACATATTAAAATAATTAGTTTAAATAAATGATTCAGATCTGATGAGTTCAAGATACTCATCATAGAAACTAGCTCCACTAAAGAATCAGTTTATAAGAAACTTTCACTTTTAGTAAAATTATGTACTCAAACAAATTCCCGAGTTAAAACTCGGTCTTTAGACTTTTCAATAATGGATGTTGCTTGGGAGTAGAAGATTTGGAAAAATACATCTAACCCTATCCAAACCTTCTCTCACGTCGGCTTACCCAGTAACATACACTTCTTCTGCAGCTCCGCCTTATGCATCGTCCCTTTCCCTGACTTAGATTCTGAGATAACTCATCAGGTGAGTGAATATTTATTCAATCCAACTTGGTTTTGGAATATTCTGCTTCTGAATTAAGTTTAAAAAACGATTATTGTTTTTTTCATTTGTGTGGTGCCATTAAAAACACTAGTTTTTCTGTTCTTTTAACCTCTTTTAAATGTGCTTCGGGGCGTAATTACAATAATATCCTAATTAATTCCTTCTGGTTGGCTTGTGTTTGAGACTCTGGTTGAAGATGGTTCAGAGGGGCCAAACTTTCTGTGGTCAAGTTATTGTTAACTTCTTATTGCTGTTTATTTGTAACACGGTCTTTGGGACTGCGACAGATATCTTCTGCCTGAAAAGCATAAAAGATTCTCTTGGAGATCTATATGGTTATTTGAAGTCTTCATGGGATTTCAGCAACAGCAGAGAAGGACTTATCTGCAGATTTACTGGGGTTGAATGTTGGCGCCCTAATGAGAACAGAGTCTTAAATCTCAAGTTGTCAAACATGGAACTCAAGGCCCAGTTTCGTCGTACCATTCAAAATTGCTCCAGCTTAACAGGATTAGATCTCTCAATGAACAAACTTTGTGGGAAAATTCCTGCAGATGTTGATGTTCTTCTTCCATTTGTGACAACTCTTGATATATCTTCCAACAACTTTTCTGGGAGAATCCCCAAGAGCGTTGCAAATTGCAGCTATCTGAATTACCTTAAACTCGATCAGAACCAACTCAGTGGGCGAATTCCCGGAGAATTGACCCCCCCTACAAGGCTCAAGACATTTATTGTGACCAACAATCTTTTGACAGGTCCAGTTCCAAAGATTCCACATGTCCCAGCTGAGAGTTATGCAAATAATTCAGGACTCTGTCACCTTGCCACAGCAATCAATTATATTCTTGAAAACTTGTAATACCCGATTTGTTTAAAAATAAGTCGGATATGAGATAATGAGATCTAAATATATTCCAATTAATGAGATTTAAATAATATCTTGATTGAGATTTGAATATATTGAAATGCTATCTTAGCTATTAAAATGAATAAAAAAATATACTCCTATTAGAAATAAATCTTTAGCTATCTTGGATGATACAATCTATTAGAATTTTAAATATAATCAAATATGTTAATCCGTGCATCGCACGGGAAAGAAATTTCTAGTTGAATATATATGTCTCGTAATTCTGTGTCTTGCCATAGAGACTTGGAATAATCTATTTCCCTCCCAACCTTCAAATCATTCAATAAAGCATCCATGGCCTAATTGGTGTGTACAATTTGTGTTATTTAGTTCTGTGTACCCTTTAATTGGCGTTCACCAGTTGTTATTGTGAAAGATTATTATTATTATTATCCCTATATTCATAGTTATAATATTAAATATATACAAGTAGAATCGGTAAACGAATAAGTTCCACGGTGTTCCCTGCGTCTCATTTCGCGATCAAGTTATAATATTGAATATACACTATTCTTTACGTACTTTATACGGCATTTATTAAGTATTAATAATTAGACTATATCAATTAAGAAGATAAAGCTTGACTTGATTTGATGAGAATGGTCTTTTTGAAATGCTTTGGAAAATTACTCTCATCGAAGACTTTGAAAAACCAAATATATTAAGTAATTTAATAACTTTTTTAATCTTTCTAATTTAGTCAACTGAGTCTTGTGTCTCTTTCTCTAGTAAGTCTTCTATCATTATGCGTGTTTCCCTTCATTTTAAAAGTTCAGACAAATTTAAGGGACTAAATCGATAATTAAGAGAAACTTGAGGAAGTTGATGATAAATATTAAATTTCAAGGACCAAATCGATAATTGATGCAACTTTGAAGAATTTCTTTTTACAAACTTGGGAACAGATGGGAAATTATTTTTTCTTCATAAAAGTATATATCATTAATTTAAACGGCAGGTAAGAGAAGGATATAGTAGTACTAAATTAAAAAGAAAGGATTGTAACTAAATTATAATTGACTGAATTCTGGCCCCAAAAATTATAATTGACTAGCTTAATTAGCTTGTTTCTTTTAACGCTGGCTGTACTCCACTATTCTAACTTCGGTGACAAATAATTATAAAGTCACTTTCTTCTAGATGCCATCGATATCCAATAAGAATTCTATTTTATTGAACAACCTAATCCTGAAAATATAAAATTTTTAGACATTTGTCGTGTGTTTTCAGCTTTGGTCTGTCATCTTTCCCACTTATTAATAAAATAGAATAATATTTTTAAGCTTTTTATGAATAGTTTACAAATATGGAAAAGTGGATAATTAATCAGATCATCATCATAGGTAATATCATGATCGTCCGTTCATTTTCATGCTTTTATATTATTCTTTTGTAATTTCTTAAACAAATTTCTGAGGAAAAGAAAATGAGGATATAATGAGGCATTAGTGTAAATATAATAGATGTTTACTTTTTCCCTTATTATCTTTTTCTGTATTTAGTTGTTTGGAACAGGTCTTGTGCATATTCATTTCAAAAAGATTGTAACTTAAACCGTAAAGTGAGATCAATGTAAGTTGATCTATTCAGAATCTATGAAAATATTGCGGTTAAACGCTAATAACATGTTAATCTCATTAATTAAAGAATTTTTAATTTAACAATATTCCGCAGCTATTTTAAACAACCGATTGACCTAAGTGTGAATAAATGTGTTTTTTTCTTTAAGTAAATATGTGTTGTGTGTATATATGTAGAGAAGTTCTTTGGAAAGAAGCTCGCCTCAGACTTCATATTTCACTGCTGAGAGGTTGTTCCCACTGGCGATGATATTTCTCTGCCTTGGAATAGCAATACGATATGCACCTCATCCAAATCCAGATCAATTTTTTATCGTTATCACTGATGTAGTGCTGAAGTTTTTATCATAATATTGCTCTTAATCGGTGAGTTATATACGTCCGTGTTATTACTCTTTTATATATGCCTGACGAACTTGCCATAGCTAATTATGATGGATCCGATTGGCTTCTGTGTTCTCTTGGCACTAATTGGTTCTGCTTTTGCACTGTTTAGTGTTTATGCTAATAAAACTTTCTTTTTCACTTTGTTTTAATTTCTTTTGCGGGATCCTATTATGTCCAGATAAATGGAGCTTGAGATGTCAAAAACTCCTGGATTTGAATTTCCAAATTACAACTCATAAGACCGTGGCATATCATTAAAAAATTAAGATGACAACGTAGTATAAAATTTAAAATGGAGGCCATTACGAATGGATTTTTTAAATTAAAAAAAACTAAGTTATTTGGTCTTATCTTGTGTCTTTGCAATCACGACATACAAGTAGGGCTTGGAAATAGAAAAATATATGCTATTAAAATATATTTCCTAGTTACTGACAACATTAAATATTTCTACTTTTATTCAAAAGTTTTTTGGGACCTCAATATTTTATTCAAAAGTTAAAGCTCGCTCTTTGGAGTTTTCAATGAACGTGTCATTCTAATATACACCTAACCTTATTTAAACCTTCTCGCACCTTTATGCTTGTTCAGTTAATATACGCTTCTTCTTGGCTGGTTCTTATATAACTAGACGCCGTACCCGTGCAATCACGGGTTATTAAGTCAATACTTTTTACATCATCAAAGGAAATAACTATTAGCATTTACATCAAGTTGAAATCACGTTTTGAAAAACCCAGTTGTACCCAATATTTATTGTTCGATTTGTTGGCCTTTCTTTGTTATGACTTGTGTTCTGTTTTTTTGTTGGAAAACCTTGTTGTTTTGTTTCTAAAATATTAGACTCAGTGTAATAATGGGGAATTAATACAGTTTGCAACATAGAAATTAGCAAAATTATTGTAGCTTTTATAAATATGATACATAATTTTACTACTCTAACAACATGTTTTGAAATGCTTTTGTGTACCTGTTGGCAAAAAAAAAAAGGTGTCTGTATACATCACATTTGTTGTTATGTTTGTTGTTAGTTTCTAAGAATCCAATATTAGTATCTTAAGGCCTGTCATACTTCTAACCCTGAAAATAGCAACACTGAGTTGTCCATGTAAGAATACTGGAGGAAGGAACAACCCTACATTGGCCATTGACAGACGATGACTTTACAATTTAAAAATCGAAGCCATTGATCAAAAATCAAGAAAAGATGATGTGGATGTAACTTCAGAGATATCTTCCTTGCAACAAATATGCTTATGCTGTAATAAAGATATAAAAATTTGTGCACAAAACCAACTGACTACACACTCATGCTAGCTAGAAGCTCTCCATCCTTTACTCCATTTTAATTTAATATTTCTATTTTATTTGAAAGATTAACGTCATTCTGTACAATTTTCAATCAATATGTTTTTCTGATAAAATACATGAAGAAATAAACTTAACGCTATTCAAACCTTCTGGCACTTCCCCATACTCAGTTAATACACATTATTTCCTTTGAGATGTAATTCTTGTGATAAGGACACCATGTATATTTAATAATATTGTCACTAAAGCTTCTTAATTAATTAATAATACTCCTCCAATTAATAACGTTTATAGTTTTGAAATTTTTTAAAAATAACTATTTGGAGTTGTGAAAAGCATATATCTAGGTGCTTTCACTCGCACAAGTCATCCTTGGCGTGGAAATTTTGGCCCCTTCCCTATTATTTGACCCATCCAATGTCTTTTCCTTTCTCAAGAGGAGAGTATTATTAATCTGTCATTTCTCTTTTAATTAGTCCCATTTGATCTTTTGTAACATATATGGACCTACAAATATCCTCAACCACTCTGCATTTTTATAATTCTAAGAAAATGATCTTTTCATACAATTTTCAATTGAAAAAAAAGAGAGTATAAATCGTCTTGCGCGTATAATTACGCGAAAATGAAAAATTAGTAACTGCTCTCTTTACAATTCAACTACTTAAAACTCTGCCATAATAATTTACTCTGGTCTTCTCTCTTCTGGGCGCCACAATAATCACTCAATGCTTCAATTATATCATTTTGGTAATCTCATTATCAGACTAGAGAACCAGTTTCTAAGAAATTTTCACTGTCCCTTGCGGGACATTGGATAAAATTGCACCGACACTAAGAAGAAATTTTCACTTTTCTTATTTAACTTTTGAATTTATATATATTATTGAGAAGATTATACCATTCTAGTCCTTATTATCAGACACCAGAAGAAATATGGGGTCCTTATATAATTAAGTCGTCAAGGGTATTAATAACATTTTTCAGCAATATTCTAAGAAGAAATTTTCACTTTTCTCATTTAAATTTTGAATATATATATATATTAGTGAGAAAATTATACCATTCTAGTCCTTATTATCAGACACCAGAAGAATTATGGGGTCCTTATATAATTAAGTCATCAAGGGTATTAATAACATTTTTCAGTAATTCACCAAGAGCCTAAACAAAGACTGATGCATATCAATTTTAGTCAACCATATATATCAATTAAGAAGTGGCACATAATTCGATTACACATGATACCACCAAAGACATGATAGGTAGCAAATGCTTATTTAATCAGACAATGCCCTAACCCGCATGACGATGTATCGGTGGTCTATATTTATTTGTAAAGAAAAAAAAAACTTGTTGGTATCCTCTGCGCGGCACCGAATTATCACTTTTTTTAAAAGCATGTAATACATTAATAAAAGAATGAATATGTGAGTTGACAAAATAGTAAACTGAAAACTTGAGGAAAAATATTGAGCAACGAACAATATAAAAAGAGAGAGAGCTCAAGAAGCTAATTAAGGTTATGACCAGAAGTAGCACTACATATATAAGCTCGGCATCAAGAACCAGATGAAAGTGTCAAGCTAGAACTAGGGTTTGGTCCAAGGCACCAATGTTCAAAGAGTTGTCACTTCGTCCTTCATAAGGTGTGTTTCAAGGCTCGTCCTACAGACTCACCCATAACCCATCAATTCATGGGTAGCCCGATTCCAATTTCTCCGGGAACCTCCCGGTGACTGGAACCACCGTCTGTGTGATGCTTGCGGGAGGGACTTTCGAAGGTTTCTGTATGATGATCAATATCCCAGACACAAGCTTGACTTGCGCCCTTGTTGCCTGAGCCTTAAGAGAGACATGTTTGATTCCTCTCGTAAACCACAAGCTCTTTGGGCTTTTGGCAAAAAGAGCTTCGTTGAGGCCGCAGACATCATTTTTCAATCGTGAAGTGATCAAAATGGTAAAGTTAGGTTTCGGGGTTATAATATCAGTTCTATTTGGAGATCCAATAACCCCACTTAGCTGTTCATAATCCTGTAGTTTTGTTTGTATTACTCTTCTGTGTCTGACGAACTTGTGATAGCCAGTAATTGATCCAAGTCTCTGCTAATTGGCTTCGTGTTGTCTTGGCAGTTGGTTCTATTTTTGCACTGTTTAAGCTAATAAAACTTTCTCTCTCTTTGCTTTCTATTTCGCAGGATCCTCCTCCACTAAAATTTAGGTTTAAGTCCAGATTCATTTCTTGTTTAACTTTGATGGTATATTTATAAAACATTTTCAGTTCGGAATGCAAAGAAATATATCGATCCGTATGTAAATCGAGGACATTGGAACATCACTGGAACGCATGAATAGAAAATCAGGTAAGTGAAATGACTTACAATACTAAAACTGTAATAAATAAGTACCTTATTGATGAGTTTTTTATATTGGAAACATTTTCCCTTACATTATATGATAAATATCATACAGTGGCTAAAGTGAACAGTACTATTTCAGTTACGAACATCATAGCTTATTATAGATCTTGAAACACGCACACATACACATACATATTACCAACAAACTATTAGTTGAGGTAGTAAGTGGCCTTATCTTTTAAGAAAAAGAACACAAATCGTGAGAAGTGCACTTGTTGGAAGAGGCAAAAACTTTTTGCGCTAAGCCTCGAAAGGAAAAAACCTTAATCAAGTAAAAATATATATATTAAATTGATAATGATATTTTATGTTTGGATAACTTGAAGAAAGACAATACATACTCCTTCCTATTTTAAATGTAGAATGTATATGCTGAGATAAAAAATGTAGAACGACAAGGGGCCTAATGTATGCTCTAACCTCAAATTTTTTCCTTCTTTTGATAATTGTATTGTACAAAAATGAATAATATTTTGATACCTTGGAAACATGATGATTTTTGATTTTTTTTTTAAAACATTTTTTCAAACGAATAAATTAAAACTGCACAATTTTATGGTTGTTTCTTTCTTTAAAAAGTAGTTAAAAATTTACTATTGCACTATTTTTGTTGTTGTTGGTAGGATATCAAGATATTGCCCAATAGATAGAAGTTGGATCATTAGAGAGGGGGTATTATTAGAGGCCCTTGCCTGTCGTGTGGGTGGGAGCCAAAAGACCTGAGGCTGGCTTGCAAGCTGGAGCAAAGACTGATATGATGTATTTTGCCCTTATCACAACGAGATGGTACTACTGGTAGGTAACAAATGCTGCTTTGATCTGACAATGCTGTGAGCGATGACAGATCAGTAATTTATTTATATATGAAGGAAAAACTGGTTGTCATCTTGGGCACCGAATTATATACTCCCTCCGTTCCTTATTATAAGAGACAAATAACCGAATTACGTTGATCAAAAAAGCAGTTAAAATTAGTTAAGAACAATCAATGTGTAAAAAATATAATTTTTTTTCCAAAAATGCCCTCATTAATAAGGAGAGAGAGCATGAGAGAGAACAATTAAATTATTAAAAGAAAGAGAAGTAGGAGGGAGAGAGAGTGTGAGTTGGAGACAATAAATATGGGTAAAATAGGAAATCAACACAAAAAAGTAGAGACAACTTTTAAGTGTCTCTTATATATAGGAACATGCAATAAGCATCAAATGTCTCTTATAATAAGGAACGGAGGGAGTATAATTTATTTTTAAAGCACGTAGTACATTAATAAAAGAATGAACATGTGCGGTTGAGCGACGATCTGCAGTATACGATAAGAGAGAGAATCTCAAGACGCCATGGTTGACCAGAAATAAAGCTAGTTAAAAACCAGATCGATCATGAAAATCTTAAGAAGTAGAAGGCTAGAAGCAAGCTAGCTTATGGGGCGACAAATAGAAAGTGATTTCTGAGAGAAGACAATGATGGATCATCCTGGCATCCCCACCCATTGAGGCTCAATCTCGACGAAGAAGAAAAGCGATTTAAGTGCAGTGGATGCAAAGAACATGGGTTAGGTTCAAGGTACCGATGTGCCATGAATTCTCCCTTTGTCCTTCACGAGCTGTGTTTCAATGTTAGCCCCGACGACCCACCCAGAACCCATGAATTCATGGGTAAATGCGAGTTCCAATTCCTCCGGAAACCTCCGGGCGGACCGAACCGCCGGTTGTGCGATGCTTGTGGGTGCGACATCCGAGGGTTTCTGTACCATGATATGCGCAGAAACGTGCATGACTTGCACCCTCGTTGCCTGAACCTTAAGAGAACAATTTCTGATGACAGTGGCATGAAGCTGAAACTTAAGGACAAAGTGCCTTCCAACTCCGTGTGTGTCAAATGCAACAGGAAGGATCTAAATGTGGCGACCAAAGGGCCCTTCAGAGGTTGGTGCTACATGTCCTTTTGTGGGAACTATTGTTACCATGTTTTTTGTTTGAAGAAGAAATTGATTCTAGATAACTGGGAAAGGGGCTATTTCAATGTCGCTTCTTCTTCTTCTTCTTCTTCAAGCTTGGTCGTCAGAACTGGACGCTCATCAAGAAATACGAGAGTGCCAAGTGATGGAAGCTTGGTCACATCAGCCCCAAGCCCGTCGACTTCGTATTCCACTCCTAAGGGGTTGTTCCCGGTGGCGATGGTATTTCTTGCTGGTCTAATATCACTATACTTGTCTGAAAATCCAGTTGAATTTTTTAAGGTTTTAGCTGATGTGTTAGTGAAAGTTTTGCCTCGCTCTTAAGCGAATGATTACTCTTTTATGCCTGACGAACTTTCGATTGGCTTACTTTTTTATGTCCGACGAACTTTTCGATTGGCTTAGTGTTCTCTTGGCACTAAATGGTTCTGCTTTTGCACTGTTTATGCTAATAAAACTTTCTTTTCCACTTTGTTTTCTTCTTGCGGGATCAATCCCTAAGTGCAGATAATTAAATCGAGCCGTACTAGATGTCTAAAGTTCCTAGATTTAGGGGGTTTTTGGCAACTCTCAAGAGTACTTCTGTAGAACAAATCAAGAAAAGAACCTCCTTTTTTTGGTTTATATATACAATTTTATATATACAATAAGGTTCAGATATTGATATAATTCATGTAGAAGCATTTTTCTACAAAACGAGGCAAACTCCTCCACATATTTACTTCGTAAACCGTAAAAACACTTCTGAAACTATGACTCGGTTTCCATTCAAACACCCCTTTAGTCTTATATCTTGTGGCCAATGCAATTATGACACATATGCGTAGGGCTTAGAAAATTATGTGCTATTAAAATATATTTCCTAGTTATTCAGAACATCAAATATTTCTATTTTATTCAAAAGTTTTTTTCTGACCTCGATATTTTATATTCAAAAGTTAAAGCTCACTCTTTGGACGTTTCAATGAATGTGTCTTTCTAATAAAAGACTCCTTACAATATTAATGCACCCAACCTTATTCAAACCTTACCACACTTATGCTTATTCAGTTTTTAGATTAAAAACAAAACGCTTGTTCAGTTTGTATTATATTACTTCTCTTGGTTCTTATCTTATATAATCTAAATACACCGGCCATGTTTTAAAATATAACGACGTTATGTTTAAGGCATTTATTTTCCACCTAATATTTTTAGTGCTAGGTGTTTTTTTTTTGGCATCATTTTTAATACTAAGTGTCAAATATAAAATTTTCTAACTAATTAATCAAAGTCTTTCAGCTAGTAACTTTTATTAATAACTTTAGAATTTTACCAAAAAAATTAACTACAAGTGGGCATAAGTCTAGACGCTCCCTCTCGCGCAGTCAGGGCGCCGTCCCTTAGCGTGCAAATTTTGGCCCTTCCTTATTTTGTCTCATAGCTTTTTGTTTCTCTTTCCCTTTTTTTTTTTTTAATACATAAAAGTTTCAAAGTCTAGGTGACTTTGGTCTCTAGGACTTACTAGAATCAGGACATGCTGCTAGGTATTGAGAGTGCTTAGATCGGTACTTACAGATCGCCTACAAGTAAGGTTCTCACATTGATAGTGATGTTTGAATTTACAATCTTGTGGATTATAAGTTGACTCCTTATCAACTAGACCAACTGAAGTTCAACTGCCCTTAATTGTCGCTTTGGGGTTACTCCAAAAATTAACCGAATTAATGCAATATAATGCACAATCCGGGTCGTATTCATTTTGAGGAGCCGAAAACGAAATTAAATCCTAGTAAATAAATGCAAGTAACCTAAACTATAAAAAAGATTTTTGATTTGAGTTTGAAAAATTGCTAACTAAATGCCTTGAATTAAATTGAAATTAAAATAATTTTTTTTTGTTATTTTCTTTTATATAAAAGATGATTGAAATAACTGAAGATGAAAGAAATGAAAATGAAACACACAAATAACACTGATGATAATCAATCCTCTAATTCAACAATGTAGGCAATCATCACTCTAAAAGATGTGGGAGTTAAAAATAATGAATTAAGAATTATAATTAAGCTTTTAATCCAACAACCGAGCCACCTCGAGTTGCCACAAAATATTTTCCTAAAATCCCAACTTACTAATTGCAACCAGAATAGTAAAATGGGATTAAGGATGTCAAAAACCAATGCTTAATTAGAACTCTTAAATCTAAAATAACATAATTAAAGCTAGCAAGAGACAATATGATCCAAAATTCTAAGCCACCTTAGAAAATCACAATATATTAACTCCAAAATCAATATAAATGTCATAACCACAACATCATAATTGAAATCAAAGTTATAAACAACCCAGTGTCAAATGCTAAACAGTAATCTAGCCATAAAAATCTCCACAGGTAATCAGATTTAACAACACAAAATTTTCTAATAATCAGAATAACTATCCTAAGACCTAGGAATTGTTAAACAATTATTAGACAGGAAATTAAAGCAACTAAAACTCCTCCTTGATGATCTAAGCTCCTGCCATTGTTGTTGAATTAGAGGATTAATAAAGCTAGCCACGGACTGCCATAAAAAATAATGCCTCCAATAGTCTACTATGTCCTGCCATGAAGAACAAGGAAGAAGCGGCTGTGAAAACTATAATTCGATGACTCGCTCTGCCTCCCGTGGGTTCCCTCCAGCCGCGCCTCGCGTCCCTGTTTCTTTCTTGCGTCTTCGCCTCCGCATATGTGTGTGTCTCCGTTCTCCTCTGTTCGGCGTGCTCTGCTCTTGCCTTCCGTGTATTCCCTCCAGCCGCCTCGCGTGTGTGTTCGGCCTCTTCTCTCCCGTTCGGCGTCTTCGCCCCCGCTTGCGTCTTCCGCCTCCTGCTTGTTCGTGCTTCTCTGTTTTATTCGGCGTGTTCGTGTGTGTTTCGTTCTGTCTTGTTCGCCGCCCCCGCTCTTCTTCTCCCAGCTGATGATAATAATGGATATTAGGGGTGGAGCAAAACGCAGCGTTTTGCTCCCCCATTTTATTATATTTTTTTTCTTTTTTTTTTCTTTTTTTTATTTTAAAAAATCTTCCAAAAACCTGCAAGCAAAAATTCAATGATAAGGTAGCATTAATTGTCCTCAAAAATCAATTAGTCACAATTAAACCAAAATATGACAATTTTGCCCCTATAAAATATTAATTCAAAATAAAACAAAATAAATCAATTAAGGCAAAAAAAGACCAATTAAGCTGACAAAACTCATATAAAAGATACCAAAATATATAAAAATAATTGAGTTTGTCACCAACTCTTGTTGGCCTGATAGCTTTTTTGTTTTCCTTTTTTTTAATATAATTTGCACAATTTTTCTCAAGAATTAATTAATAATTTTATATGTTGCTATCAATTCTAAAAACATGACCTTATCATTCGCCCAAAAAAAAAAATGACCCAATGAGAATAAATTATAAAATAATCTCGCGTATGGTTTCGGTTGATATTAACTGCTTAAAAACTTTGTTGTAATAATTTACTCCAGTCTTCTGGCCCACAATAATTCCATACTTGAATTATATCATTTTAGTAATCGCTTGATCAGATCAAAGAATCAGCTTTAAGAAATTTTCACTTGAAGTTTTGAATCTGTGTGCATGTGTATAATGCTTGTGCGTGGGTGTGAGACTAAGAGAATTATATACTCAAAAAAATTCCCTGTTTAAAAGTCGGTCTTTAGACTTTTCAATGGATGTTGGTCCTATTCAAACCTTCTCACACGTCGGCTTACCCACTAATAGATACATCTTCTGGAGCTCCGCATGCGTCGTCCTTTTTCCTGAATTGCATTCTGAGATAACTCAGGTGAGTGAATATTTATTCAATCCGAGTTGGTTTTTGAATATTCCGATCGTGACTCAAGTTTAAATGGTGTTCTTTTAATTTCTCTGCTGCCGTTAATAACACTGGTTTTTCTGTTCTTTTAACCTCTTTTAAATGTGTCTCAGGGCGTTTTCGCAAGAATATCCAGATTATATTAATTCCTTTCGGTTGGCTTGGGTTTGAGATCGTGGTTGAAGATGATTCTGAGTGGCCGAACTTTGGGCGCTCATATTATTGCCATTAATTTTTTGTTGCTGTTGAGTTGTAACATGGTCTTCGGGACTGCGACTGATATCTTCTGCTTGAAAAGCATAAAAGATTCACTTGAAGACCCATATGGTTATTTGAAGTCTTCCTGGGATTTCAACAACATCACAGAAGGATTTATCTGCAGATTCACTGGGGTTGAATGCTGGCACCCTGATGAGAACAGGGTCTTAAATCTCAAGTTGTCAAACATGGCACTCAAGGGCCAGTTTCCTCGTGCCATTCGAAATTGCTCCAGCTTAACAGGATTAGATCTGTCAATGAACACACTTTCTGGGAAAATTCCTGCGGATATTGATGTTCTTCTTCCATTTGTGACAACTCTTGATCTATCTTCCAATAATTTTTCTGGGAAAATCCCCAACAGCGTTGCAAATTGCAGCTATCTGAATTCCCTTAAACTCGATCAGAACCAACTCAGTGGGCGAATTCCCGGAGAATTGACCTTCCTTACAAGGCTGAAGACATTTACAGTGACCAACAATCTTTTGACCGGTCCAGTTCCAAACCTTCCACAAGTCCCAGCTGAGAGTTATGCAAATAATTCAGGACTCTGTGGTGGTCCCTTACCACCTTGCTCCTAATCTGTGTTGTTAGCCTTTCAATTGCGCTGTGCCATGCAGCAGAGAGTTAGAACAATCTATTTCCCTACCGACACTTCGAATCATTCAATAAAGGGATCCATGGCCTTATTGCTTAGTGTGTACACTCTATGTTATTATTAATATTTAGTTCTGTGTCTTGAATCTCCATCATTTTTTTCTTCATAAACGTCTTCATCATTCAATAAAGTGTGCTTAGTTTACAGAGATCCATGGCACTCTACACGCCAATACGCCACAAGGGTGCTCGCATTTGATTCATATTAATACAACATCTTAACATATTTCATGATATTTTATTTTAATTATTAATTCTTTCACTTAATATTGCTAATTAAATATAAAAATTTCTTAGCAAGTAACTAAACTGCTCTAACTAATAAATTTTATTAAAAATAATTTTAAAATTTTGCAAAGAAAAATAACTAATTAAAAGTTGGCAAAAGTCTAGGCGCTCCCATTGGCATAGTCAAGTCGTCGCTTAGCGTGGAAATTTTCGCCTCTTTCTTATTTGACCCGTTCAATAGCTCTTCGTTTCTCTCTCTTCATATAATTTACACAATTTTTCTTAAGTGCTAATTAATTATTAATCCTACTTATTGCCATCAATATCCTCAATCACTCCGCATTTTTATAGTTCTAAAAGCATGATCTTTTCATACAATTTTTAGTGAAAATAAATTGCTAAATCATCACGTAAGAAAAGTAATTAGCAAGGTTCGCTTTGTTATAATAATTTACTCCAGTCTTCTGGACGCCACAATCACTCAATACTTCAATTATACTACCTCTGGTGCTTAATATAATAAAGACATCGACATTCAATTTAATTATAAATATAAGACCTCAATCTACTTTGTCTCTTATATTTATCTATTTTCTTAAGATAGTAGTTGTACATGTTAAAGATTTCATCAAATGGTAGTTCTAACTAATACACATGATTAGTAAGGGTATGTTAAGAAAAACAACACCTATTTATTATAAATAACTAATTTAACTAATTTTCTTAATCATAAAAAATATTCCAAGAACAAGGCTGGCATGTCTCTGTGGTGTTCAGTTTCATCTGGCCTAAATGAGAAATTTCAAATGGCCTCAGCTTGGTTCGGGCTTGAAATGGATGGTCTTTCTTTCAAAATTAAGCACTTCAATTAATTTGCTGGCTGAAATGGAAGGCCTCACTCTATGGGTTCTCTGTTATTTTTTTTCAGTGTTGGAAGTGGGGTGCAATGAGGATTTCAACCTATGGGACTGTGACTGCAGATACCTCGTGCTTTATTAATACATAGAATCGTAAAAGGAGAAACAAAGTATAACATGATATATATCAACAAGATAGAGATCTTAAGCATGTGTTTGGGAGAGGAAAGGAGTTTCAAATCCCTCTTTGACCAAGTACTTCCAATTCTTAATATAAGACTCAGTTGACTAATTTATTAAAAATTAAAAAGTTACTAAATTACTTAATCATGGCATATGTTATATAATCTCTATAAAATACTTATATATCATTGGATTATATGCTAATTTATAAGTGAGGCAAATTAATTTGGAGAAAAACAATATATAAATGCTTTAAAGTAATTTAATAACTTCTTTTGTCTCCCCAAATTTGTTAACTGGGTTTTATATGAAAAACAAGAAATAATATCTCATTTAAGCCAAATATAAGTTTTTCATCATTGTGCGTCTCTCTCTCTAGTAAATCTTCTACGACCTCCGGTCCTAATTATAATACCCAATTGACTAATTTGAGGAGATTAAGGAAGTAAGTTAAATTAGTTATTTGTAATAAATAAGTGTTGTCATTCCTAAAATGTCCTTGCTAATTAAGTGTATTAGCTAGAACTATCATTATTAGAAGAACTATTTTGGAAAAAAAATGCATAAATATGAGAGACAGAATGGATTGGGGTTTTATAATTAGGACCAAACAAAAAGTCAAACGGGATCTTATATTAAGGACCGGAGGTAGTATCATTATGCATGCTTTCCTTTATTTTAAAAGTTGAGACAAACTTGAGAGACCAAATCAATAAGATAAATTTGAGGAAGTCAATGAGAAATATTAAATTTTAAGGACCAAATTGATAATTGATGCAACTTTGAAGAATTTCCATTCTTCAAGGAAAAAATCACAAAAGAAGACCTTAAAAATGAAAAAATTATATACAAGGACCCGTTCATAAAACTGTTATCCTTTTTATATAATTGGGAACAGATGGGAAATTATTTTTCTTCATCAAAGATGTATATATCATTAAGTTAAACGGCAGGCAAGAGAATGATATAGCAGGACAAAACTAAAAAGAAAGGATCGTAACTAAATTATAATTGACTGACCTCTGGCCCAAAAAAAATTATATATAATTGACCAACTACTCTGGCTTTTTGTACTCCACTACTCCAACTTGGGTGATTAATAATTATAAAGTCACTTTCTTCTAGATGCCACCGATATATGATTCTCCAGTAAGAATTCAATTTTACTTAAGAAAACCTAATCCTGAAAATATAAAATTTTTAGACGTTTGTCGTGTGTTTTCAGCTTTGGCCTGTCATCTTTCCCACTTATCAATAAAATAAAATAAAATTTTTAAGTAGACTTTTTATGACTAATTTACAAATATTGAAAGGTGGCTAATTAATCAGGTCATCGTCATATGGAGGTGATGAACTCTTGGTTTGTGGCATTTTCTGCCCTTTTTTCATCTATGATTTGTGATAGAGCTCGATCTTATGAAAATGGTTAATAAAATATCAAGATCTTCAGTTCATTTTCATGCTTTTATATTATTCTTTTCTGATTTCTTAAACAAATTTTAGCGGAAAAGAAAATGAGATGTAATGAAGCATTAGTATATAGATATATATATATTCCTCCAGTTCAAAATATAAGACTTATTTTGTAGTATAAATTATACTACAAAATGATTTTTATATTTAGGACCAAAGGGGTAATATATATTTACCTTTTCAGTGGTTATCCTTTTCTGTATCTATTGTGGAAATCAACAAAAAAAAGTTAATGGGGGAAAAGTTGTTTGGAGTCCAGATACACCCACAAAAGCAATAAAAGGAATAGTAGTAGTAGTAATAACAATAATAACAACAATAATAATAGCAGCAGCAGCATAAGATCGAACATGTCTTGTGTTAATATGTTCATTTCTAAGTGTGTAACTTAAACTGTAAAGTGAGATCAGTGTAAGTTGATCTATTCAGAATCTATGAAAATATTGCGGTAAAACGCTAATAAGACGTCAATCTCATTAATTAAACAACTTTTAGTTTAACAATATCACGCACAATATAAAAGTTATTATTAACAACCGATTGACCTAGGTGCAAGTAAATGTGTTTTTTTCTGTAAGTAAATATGTGTTGTGTGTATGTATTAATATTTTTGTGTATTATTCTTCTAGTCTTTAATATAAAACCTATTTTGTAATGTAAAATTGCACTACAGGTGTTATATTAAGCGCTGAGAAGTACTTATTTTGGTTCAACTAATCTAACCCTGATAAATAGCATTAATTAAAAAAATGAATATGTGAACGAACAGTATGAAAAGAGAGAAATGTTGAAGACGCCGAGGTTGACCAGAAATAATTAACACTATCCATATATAAGATCATCACAAGAACCAGATGATAAAAAGCAAGTGTGTGAAGGTAGAAGCCTATGGAGCGACAAAATTACCCATGGCTTCGCCACCCAATGATGAGTCTGAAACATGAGGAAGAAAATTTATTTAAGTGCAGTGGATGCAAAGAACCAGGGTTTGGCCCGAGGTACCAATGTGAAACAACCAATTGTCGCTTTGTCCTTCATGAGGATTGTTTCAAGGCTCGCCCCACACAGCCATCCAGAACCCATCCCTTGATGGGTAACCGCAGATTCCAATTCCTCCCGGAACCTCCCGGCGGACCAGACCGCCGGTTGTGCGACGCTTGCGGTGGGGACATTCGAGGGTTCCTCTATCATGATAAATACAGACATGATCGTGACTTGCACCCTTGTTGCATGAACCTTCAGAAAACCATATCTGATCCTTTTAATAATGGGATGAAGCTGATTCTTAAGGGCAAAGTGTCCTCCGACTCCTTTTGTGTGAAATGCCAGAGGAAGGATCTAAACCTAAAGGCGGCCGAAGGGTTCATAGGGTGGTTTTATGTGTCCTCGGGCGGAAATTATTGGTACCATGTCCATTGTCTGAATAAATTGATCCTCCGTGCGCGGAAAAGGAGCTATTTCAATGTTCCTCCTTCTTTTTACCTTGTCCGTTTTATGTTTCTCGACCATATGGAGAAATTGACTCAGGAAATCAGAAGGGGCTATTTCAATGTTCCTCCTCCTCCTCCACTTCTGCTTCCACCTCCTCCACCACCACCACCACCTCCTCCTCCTCCTCCACCGCCACTTCCTCCTCCTCCTCCTAGTATGGCCGACACAGCTGAGGCTGCAAGCTCATCAAGAAGTATGAGCGTGCCAAGTGATAGAGGCTCGATCGAATCAGCCCCAAGCTCTTTGGAAAGAAGCTCGCCGCAGACTTCATACTTCACTGCTGAGAGGTTGTTCCGACTGGCGATATTATTTCTCTGCCTTGGAATAGCAATACGATATGCGCCTCAGAATCCAGGTGAACTTTTTACTGTTATCACTGGTGTGCTACTGAAGTTTTTATGACACACACACACACACGTAACGGCGGCAACTTTATATTGCTCTTGTTAATCGTCGAGTTATGTTTGCATTACTCTTTTATGTCTGACCAACTTGTGATAGCCCATTGGCTTCGTACGTGTTCTCTTGGCATCTGGTTCTACTTTTGCACGGTTGTTGCTAATAAAGCTTTCTTTCATTTTGTTTTCTTTTGCCGTATCGTCCACCTTCAAATTTTAGGATTATGTCCAGAATGATTTCTTTTTTAATTTTTATTTTGTCTATGTCAAAAAAAAAAAACAAAAACAAAACAAAACATTCTGAGTTTCGAATGCGAGAGGCTTTCGCAAGAAGTATCCATTCGTATATGTAAACCGAGCTCTCGACGTCAAAACTCCGGGATATATTCGACCGATGCTACAAATTACAGCTCATAAGATAGTGACATATCATTATCTATTTAAAAAAAAGGTTTATATCATTTTTAGTTATTAAAATTTGATTTTATTTTAGTTTTGATCCTTAAAATTTGAAATCAGTAGATTTTGGTGGTTTCTAAAATTTAATCTAATTTTAGTTTTGGTTCTCAAAATTTCAAATGAGTGATTTTGTTCCCTAAAATTTGATTTCAACTTAAGTTTTCTGTCCCTAAAATAAGGACCAAAACCAAAATGTGGTTAAATTTTAGGAACCATTTCAATTATCAAAACCAAAATGAAATCAAGCTTCAAAAGCCAAAACCAAAATGAAGTCAAATTTTAGAGATTAGAGATGGTATTAACCCTAAAAAATAAAATAAAATGACTTCAGTTTTTTTGTAATTAAATTGATATTTATTTAAGATTAAAATTTAATATTTCAACTAATTTTTATATTTAGGACTAGAGAGAGCTTATTTGTTTTAAAACTTCCTTTATACATATCTATATCTCTGATTTTGGCCTCCATATTATTTGTTTGGTCTTTCATATATATATATATATATATATATATATATATAATGACATCATTTCAACCACTCCACATTTTTATAACTCCAAAAACGTAATGTTTTTCATAAAAATTAGTAAAACTCTCTTTACATGCAATCAATTATATACAAACAAATTTGTTATAATTTTAAAGTAGAGTGCGAAGTGGGATATCGAAGCTTCTTAGGCACACACTCAGTTATTCAATTATACCATTTTAATCATCTTGTGATTAGAAGCTAGAGAATCAGTTTTATAAGAAAATGTCACTTTTTTTTTTTGGGCAAGTTGTCGATCGGGAATGGATACGTAGGGCTTCGGAGAATATATGCTATTTAAATGGATTTCCTAGTTATTCAAAACATTAAATATTTCTATTTTATTCGAAAGTTTAAACTCATTCTATTATGGGTTGGTAAAAACAAACCAGATTCTATCGACTTTCAATTAATGTGTCTTTCTAATAAAATATTTGAAGAAAAAAATAGGAAAATTACAAATAAAGACCTCCTAATATGTAAAATTATAATTTGAGACTCTTAATTTGAAAAATAGCAAATAAAGACCCAATTCCACTTTTGTAAATATAAAATTATGATGAAATATTTGAAATACCTGTCAGCCAAATGACAACTTTAGTAGACCAAATTATAACTTGACTGAAAATATGCCAAATAATAAATTGACTATAAAAAATGACAAATTCATTTTAGCGATCAATAACAACTTTAGCAGACCAAATCACGAGTTGACTATGAGTAATGACAAGTTTACTTTAGCGAATGACAATTTCAATAAACCAAATCACAATTTGGCTTAGAGGCATTTTAAACATTTCACCCACATTTCATATTTATAAAAGTAAGACCGGGTCCTTATTGCTATTTTTCAAATTTAGAGTCTCAAATCGCAATTTTACATATTGAGGGGTCTTTATTTGTAATTTTACCAAAAAATACAACTAACCCTATTCAAACCTTTTTACACCTCTAATTACTGCATTTATGCACCACATACTTATTATTGACAACTAAAATAATTATATTGGCAATTAGCACAGCATTCATTAACAACTAAGCTAATAAATAAAGGCAATTTGATAAATTCATAATTTGATTCTCTTATCTATGATCCAATGAGACTTGAGGTTAATTTGAAGTATTAAAGGAACCATACACCAATAATTTCATTTTCGTGTGATCTGAGTGTAATTTTTTCTTAATATAACAGTTTACATATTCCACAATATATTACTTAAACTATTAATTTTTTCACTTAATACATCTTTCCTCTTCTTCCCCCTCATAGAACCATCCCCTTTATCAATGCACACAAAAAGCTGAATTCCCAAACACTTTATCTTTGTCTAACCCTCCAAGTTTCTTTTTGCTCCTTTTATTACAATCTAAAGACTAATGAGCAACTTTATAGAACACAAGATAGTTAACTTCTGTCAATATCATTTCAAATAGTATCATTGACTATCACATGTACAATGTACCTCATCAAAATATCCACAGTGCTTTTTTATTCAAGTTGACTGTGCACCTTTCTTTAAAAAAAAAAAAAAAAAAAGACCTGAATACTGATTTATCCCCATGTTGAATCAGACCAGAAAAACAGAATCCTGAAACATTTGCTGTTCCCACACGCCTCCTGCACTTTTCAGATCCTAAAAAAAAAACTTGTACAGATTTAAGGAACACGATCATATTACTGTGGAACAACTTTTTTGCAATTAAGTCCAACTTATAGGCCACCCTTTCCTACTTCTAATACTATTATTCACCTAGAAAGACACATTTAATTCAGTCCTCTTTGAAAACCAAATAACACACATTAACACCATAACAAAGGTTAAGAAAATCACGTACCATCATTTTTTTCGGATCAAGACCTGATCCAAAGCACAGGAAACACTACTTAACCATGAGTCCTCCAATACTAACCATAGATCCCTAGCATGCATCCCATTAAACTTCGTCCAACCCAGGATTCCAATGGCCTTTAACACACCACATAGGTCTGATACAGGGGAGAAATATATATGTCATCTGAAGTTATATTTCCAAATTTATGCAGACTTAGCTGGATGGGAAAAATTTGACAAACCTTACTTGCTCATCCTGCTATCTACATCAAAGCAATATGATGCTAAGTACTTTGGCAAAGCCCCATCCCTTCCATCTTGAATTACCTACAATAGGTTCATATATGCTGACAGGGTTAGTTCCCTGTTTTCCGATGTAGCTGATCAACCACTACCCCACATAATGAGTAAATAACTTTCACAATTTACCATTTAAATCACCTAAATGTTTAGTTTTTTCATGATAAATCTCATAGTTATTAATTATCTTTAAAAAAACACTAAACTTAGGAATTCATTACAGTCATGAGAAATTCCATTACCTACAAAAATAGCACTAAATCTAAGGATCAAGGGACCACATATGTGAATGTACAGTAGAGACTCTTAATAGATGAAACTTCTTTTGAATAGGCCCCACAAAAAACTCTGCAATGTCAAAACAATTAACTACAATGTCAAATAAACAAACTAACGTGACATCAACTGACACTGGTCCATTCAGTCCTTCCAATAAAACTCAAACTACAACATGATGTGAAACAAAGAGCAGCAAGCACCACATATGAGCTAGCATCTGAAAAGGCGGTGTTTGAATAAAGCAAAATTCAATGAATAGCACTTAATTACTGGAGCACCAACATAGAGGTTCTGAATATGCTTACATCAAAACAATCTTCATCCACTCAACAAGACTCTCTTTACATAAGACTCTTTTTCATTGGTGGCAAATTGTTACATTCACTCAATTATCTTTTCTTCCCAACTATCAAAGATCACAAATTGTTGCACCATTTTAGCCAAGCAAAAAAACAGAATAGAGAGGATATACCTAAAAAAGAAAAGCACAACCCACACGAAAATTTCTCACGTGCATTTTAACAAACACCTATCAGGCAAACATATTTTAGAGCATTTTATATTCTATCCTCCCCCCATATTTCAATCTAGAAGAACCAAATATCGGGCAGCATAAAAATAAAGTTAGCCGAATATAGCAAAGTCAGAATGACAATTTAACAATAGAAGAATTAAACCTATAGTAATAAGCATCGTAACACTTGCAGACCAAGGAGAACAAAATGTTGCAAGTGCTCGAAGATGCTCACAGGAATCAAGCATTGGTTCTGGCCTCGCCAAATCCCACCATATTTGATTCTCCACGCACAGCTACTTCAACTTCTCTTCCAGAGCCCAGTTCAACTTCTCAATCTTGGCTATCTCGTCTTCCTTCGCCCTCAGCCTCTTCATCATCTCTTTTTTAATTGCCTCTAAAATCCTCCTTGCTTGCCTCTTTCGCTTCTCCTCTAAATCCACCTGATATTTTCCATCTGTAACCAATTCCACGAGAAGAGACGATGAAGCAACACTGAAAGAGACGAAAGAGATAAAGAGAAACCGAGAAAAAATGGAGATGCCTACCTGATGTGTAAGTGTTAGCACATCAACTGATCCACATCATCACAAGTCTAATGCCAAGCCCATGTTTTTGTATCAAGTAAAGCTTGAAACTCCTCAGTCATGGCCTTGCGCCATTCTGGAACTTTAAGTGCCTCTGAGACAGTGTTGGGCACGTTTAGTGAAGCAATAGTGGCAGTGAGAGCTTTGGGTGGAGGCCATGGGATTGTGCCATCCGTGAAAATCTTCGGTTTGGAGATTTGAGCTCTAGATCTAGTCACCATAGGATGAGTGCGGTTTGGTGGTGGTTGGTGAGAAGCAGTAATTAAGGCTTTGTTTGGTTCAATGGAAGGGAGGGGAGGGGAGGTTAATTAAAGGAAGGGGAGGGGAAGGGAAGGGAAGGGAGGCCATGGTTTTGTTTGGTTGGAGGGGAGGGAAGGGGAGAGAAGATTTCTTGTTTGGTTCATAAAGGGAGGGGAGGGGAGATAATTATAAATTGACAAATATACCCTTATCTCTATATTTAGATTAATTTATTTTTTAATACACACACGATATAATATATAATTATAATACACACATGTTATGATATGTATATATTAATACATATGATATGTATATATTATATAATTATATTATTATATTATTTTTATCAAATATTATTAGTGGCTAAAAAGAGAAAGAAGTGAAAAAAGATTTTTAATAAGATGGACAAACTTGAAATATTAAAAAATTAGTATGGGTAGTTTGGTCAATATTAGACATAATATTTCTCTCCCCTCCAAAAAACCTCAAATTTGGAGGGGAGCATGGGGAGAGGAAGGGAGCACTAAAAGATAAATTTCTTCCCTCCCCTCCCCTCTATTTTTCCCAACCAAACACATTTATCCCCTCCCTTTCCCTTCTTTCCCCTCAACAACCCTCCAACCAAACAAAGCTTAAGGAAGAAGAAGAGGGAGAGGTGGCGGTAGAGTGTGTTGGAGAAGATGAGGACGAGGAAGTGTGAAAGCTTGGGTCAAAGGTGGGAGTATCACGTGACGGTGGTGCGGGTGAATTAGTGAGACAAGTGTCATGTGCTGGTGGTGTGGGTGTATTAGTCAAGCATGGGCTTGGATTTGAACTTGGGCCGTGAGAAATAAGAGGAAGAAGTGTGGAATTATTGCTGGGCTTGGATTGGGTTATCAAAGTTTGGAAGGGAAATTGATTTTCATCAAAAATAACATCACGAGATGTGTATAAGCGTCCAGATTTTGGATTTAAGCAAAGGTAACCCATATGGTTTGGACTGTAACCCAAGAACACACATGATGTGGATCGAGGTTCAAGTTTATGTTTGGTATATGGGCGAAGATTGGGCCAGCAAGCTGACCCAAAAACTTTAAGAAAAGAGTAATTGGGTTTGGTTTTGAAAATCATTTCATAGGGACTGGTTTTGTTGAGTGTGAGAGTCGGAATGCGATTCAAAAAGTAGGTTGCTGTAGAAAAGGCATAGGTCCAGTAATGTTGAGGAATATTGGCATGAGATAATAAACTGAGACCGGTTTCAACAATGGAGCGATGTCGTCTTTCAACAGTGCCATTTTGTGTATGAGTGTGTGGGCAAGTAATGCGATGATGGATACCAAGTGTAGAAAAAAGTTTGTGCAAAGGTCGAAACTCTCCACCCCAATTAGATTGAAATGATTTAATCTTGCGGTTTAGTAAATTTTCAACCAGAGTGCGAAATTGAAGAAAGATAGAATGCACTTCATTTTTTGTTTTAATGGGAAACCACCATATATATCTTGAAAAGTCATCAACAAAACATACGTAATAACGAAAACCATCAGTAGACACAACTGGGGATGGACCCCATACATCACAAAAAATTAAATCTAAAGGAGCAGTGGAACGATGAGAAGAAGACGGTGAAGGAAGACGATGACTCTTTGAAAGTCTACAGGCCGAACATTGACTTGGAACAAGGGTTGATGAGACAGGTAAAGAGTTGGAAGAAATGATTTGCTGGACTGTGCGGTAGGCCGGATGACCCAAGCGATTGTGCCACTGACTAAGAGATGTACGAACACCAAAACAAGCAACAACGGGTGAAGAAGATGATTTGAGACCTTGAATAGGATAGAGATTATTGATTCTGGGTCCTTGGAAGAGAGTTGTTCTGGTCTTGGCATCCTTCACAAAGAAACAATGAGAATGAAATTCAAAGAAGACATTATTATCAACACAAAATTGAGCAACAGACAGGAGATTTTTAGTGAGGTCAGGAACATGAAGAAGTTTATCAAGAATAAATTTGCCAAAAGGAGAGGAGAAGTGACCAGAACCAATGTGATGAATAGGAAGAGATGCTCCATCACCAATAAGGACTGAGTCACGACCATCATAAGGATTAGAATGAATGTTGAGATTGGAGAGTTCAGCAGTCATGTGGTTTGTGGCTCCTGTATCTAGGTACCAAAGATCAGCAGATTGAGACGGAGTAAAAGCAGAATAGTTGGCTGAAAAGGAGTGTGGTGGTGGTGCTTGGAAGGTATGATCATAGCGATGTGGACACGTAACTACTATGTGGCCAGGGGTGTGACAAAGCTAACATGTGTCAGAAGAGGTTTGGAAAAAATTGGTGTTGCTTTGAGAAAAGTTGTTGTTGCGCCCACCACCACGATTTCTATAGTGCGTACGGCCACCTCTGTTACTACGTTCAAAAGTGCTTCGGCCAATGCCACCACGATTGTTGTTGAAAAATCTGCCACCACGTCCTCTAAAACTTTGAAAACCACGGCCACCGCGGCGAGTAGGAGTGGGTAGAAGTCCATCTGAAGTAACCGCAACATTTGCTGTGATTTGAGAGATTGTGGTGCCAAAGAGTTGAGACTGACGAGCTTCATAAGTAAGCAAGTGACTGAGAATTTCTTCTGGAGTTAAGATATCCTTTCTAGTGGTGAGAGAAGTTACGATGGAGTCAAAATCAGCTCCAAGTCCTCCATGAAGATATATGTTAAAATCAGCATCAGACACAGCATTGCCGGTGGCAGCAAGGGAATCTGCAATAAGAGTGGCTCTCTAGTAATACTCTGAGATTGATTCTCCGCCCTTCTTAAGATGAGTGAGTTGTTGGTGAAGTTGAAGATATTTTGCCTGAGATTGTTGAGAATACATTGTCTCCAATGCATGCCACATGGCTCTTGAAGTCTTATGTCTCATAACCTGTGCAAAATGCCTTTCTCCATGGCTCCTTAGATGAAGACTCTGCGAATTGCTATTGTATCTTCTCAAGATCAACTTGTTGATATACTCACAAAACCTCTTCTCACATCTAGATACACTCGCTTGAGATCGAGTCTAAATGTCAAACCTATACCTTTAGACTCACGGGGGAATGTTAGCACATCAACTGATCCACATCATCACAAGTCTAATGCCAAGCCCATGTTTGATGATAAGCCCAAGTCAGATGCCAAAGCCCAAACCTAACTCATCAGTAGATATTTTACTTTATCTCTTGTACAGCTAAGCCCTATAGATGATTCTAGAATAGCTCACACTTTATATATACATTGAAACTATTACTGTTCATTGAAGAAAATGAAATACAAAGTGATGTTCTTTCTCTTTACCGCTGTGCTTTACTTTATCGTTTCTGTTCGTTCTCTGTATATTTGAAAGGAAGAAGCA